AGAGCGTTGTTTTTCCTATTGTCAATTATCCGAAACATCGGATCATCCTAAATTGCCCGTATTCTTTAAAAAAATTATTATCCCACGCAAGTGGTCGGCAAATGGCAGCTCCAATAATATAGTTTACAATATTGAAGGTCTCTATACACACCCCCCCCCCTTTTTTTTTCCTCCCCGGGGAGCGAGTCATTGTATAAACACTGACGTCATCACAGAAAGGACAAACTTATGAAATAGTTGGTGAATGGGAGGAGTATGATATTACCTTAAAAAGGCCTTGGCTATACCCAATGTAGTGAACATTTAATAAAATCACATACAATTTTTTATAACCTACCACTACAACTTTTTAGACTGGTCTGCGTGCTGCTTTCAGGGGAGGTTACGGTGAAGTTGGTCGGTCTGCTTTCAAGGGACGTTTCTGTTTAGTTGGTCGGGCTGCTTTCAAGGGATGTTACTGTGTAGTTGTTCGGGCTGCTTTCAAGGGATGTTACTGTGTAGTTGTTTGGGCTGCTTTCACGGGATGTTACTGTGTAGTTGTTCGGGCTGCTTTCACGGGATGTTACTGTGTAGTTGTTCGGGCTGCTTTCAAGGGATGTTACTGTGTAGTTGTTCGGGCTGCTTTCAAGGGATGTTACTGTGTAGTTTCCATTTGTTTATATCAATAAAATGATTTGATCGTATTCTCCCCCCACCCCCCCCAACTATATTTTTTTTATCCATAAAATTATTTTTTCTTTTTCCCCCCCCCCCCCCCCCCAACTATATTATTATTATCTTAATTATATTAAAAACTTAGGAAATGAAATCGTAGGTGAATATAGGGACTAAAATGTCGATATTGTGACTAGGCCACAGGAAACATCTATCATCTGACCACACCTACCCACATGTAACATCTACCCACATGTAACCATACCTACCCACATGTAACATCTACCCACATGTAACCACACCTACCCACATGTAACATCTACCCACATGTAACCATACCTACCCACATGTAACACCCACCCACATGTAACATCTACCCACATGTAACACCCACCCACATGTAACATCTACCCACATGAAACCACACCTACCCACATGTAACAACTACCCACATGTAACATTCACCCACATGTAACCACACCTACCCACATGTAACATCTACCCACATGTAACATTCACCCACATGTAACCACACCTACCCACATGTGACATCTACCCACATGTAACATCCACCCACATGTAACATTCAGCCACATGTAACCACACCTACCCACATGTAACATCTACCCACATGTAACATTCACCCACATGAAACCACACCTAACCACTTGTATTCAAGCACCCTTATAACAACCAAACTTATGACTGATTTCAAAATATTTTCGATTGACATCGGACAGATGACATGATAATGACATTACTTTATTGATGGCATTGCTTTAATGATGACATTACTTTATTGATGACATTACTTGATGACATTACTTTATTGATAGCATTACATTATTGATAGCATTACTTTATTGTTATCATTATTTTATTGATAGCATTACTTTATTGATGGCATTACTTTATTGATGGCATTACATTATTGATAGCATTACTTTATTGATAGCATTACTTTATTGATAGCATTACATTATTGATAGCATTACTTTATTGATGACATTACTTTATTGATATCATTACTTTATTGATAGCATTACTTTATTGATGACATTACTTTATTGATGGCATTACTTTATTGATAGCATTACATTATTGATAGCATTACTTTATTGATAGCATTACTTTATTGATGACATTACTTTATTGATGACATTACTTTATTGATAGCACTACATTATTGATAGCATTACATTATTGATATCATTACATTATTGATAGCATTACATTATTGATAGCATTTCTTTATTGATAGCATTACTTTATTGATGACATTACTTTATTGATGACATTACTTTATTGATAGCATTACATTATTGATAGCATTACATTATTGATAGCATTACATTATTGATAGCATTACATTATTGATAGCATTACATTATTGATGACATTACTTTATTGATAGCATTACATTATTGATAGCATTACATTATTGATAGCATTACATTATTGATAGCATTACATTATTGATGACATTACTTTATTGATGACATTACATTATTGATAGCATTACATTATTGATAGCATTACATTATTGATAGCATTACATTATTGATAGCATTACATTATTGATAGCATTACATTATTGATAGCATTACATTATTGATAGCATTACATTATTGATAGCATTACATTATTGATGACATTACATTATTGATAGCATTACATTATTGATAGCATTACATTATTGATGACATTACATTATTGATGACATTACATTATTGATAGCATTACATTATTGATAGCATTACATTATTGATAGCATTACATTATTGATGACATTACTTTATTGATAGCATTACATTATTGATAGCATTACATTATTGATGGCATTACATTATTGATGACATTACATTATTGATAGCATTACATTATTGATAGCATTACATTATTGATAGCATTACATTATTGATAGCATTACATTATTGATAGCATTACATTATTGATAGCATTACATTATTGATAGCATTACATTATTGATAGCATTACATTATTGATAGCATTACATTATTGATAGCATTACATTATTGATAGCATTACATTATTGATAGCATTACATTATTGATAGCATTACATTATTGATGACATTACTTTATTGATGACATTACATTATTGATAGCATTACATTATTGATAGCATTACAGATAGCATTACATTTTTGATAGCATTACATTATTGATGACATTACTTTATTGATAGCATTACATTATTGATAGCATTACATTATTGATAGCATTACATTATTGATAGCATTACATTATTGATGACATTACTTTATTGATGACATTACATTATTGATAGCATTACATTATTGATAGCATTACATTATTGATAGCATTACTTTATTGATGACATTACATTATTGATGACATTACATTATTGATAGCATTACATTATTGATAGCATTACATTATTGATAGCATTACATTATTGATAGCATTACATTATTGATAGCATTACATTATTGATAGCATTACATTATTGATAGCATTACATTATTGATAGCATTACATTATTGATAGCATTACATTATTGATAGCATTACATTATTGATAGCATTACATTATTGATAGCATTACATTATTGATAGCATTACATTATTGATAGCATTACATTATTGATAGCATTACATTATTGATAGCATTACATTATTGATAGCATTACATTATTGATGGCATTACATTATTGATAGCATTACATTATTGATAGCATTACATTGCATGCACATTTACTTTAAATTAAATAAAACCAGTGAAATAAAATTAAACTCTTCTTTTTAAAAAGACACATAAACATTTTGAGACCATCAAGTCATGGTTGTCTCGGAGTCTCCCAACATAGCTGTCTTGGTCTTGAAGTCTCACAACATGGCTGCCTTGTTCTCGGCGTCTCCCAACATGGCTATTTCAGAGTCTCCCAACATGGCTATTTCAGAGTCTCCCAACATGGCTATTTCAGAGTCTCCCAACATGGCTATTTCAGAGTCTCCCAACATGGCTATTTCAGAGTCTCCCAACATGGCTATTTCAGAGTCTCCCAAAATGGCTATTTCAGAGTCTCCCAACATGGCTATTTCAGAGTCTCCCAACATGGCTGTCTAGGTGCCCCCTAACATATCATTGCATCACACAGACTAAACTAGAAAAAAAAATGTCTGTGACAAAGTATTGTTTCGTTATTTCACTCACTTAACTAAACCAAATTAGTTCCATATTTTGCTGTATCGTAAATCTTTTTCAAAAGCCGGATGCAATTAAAAGTAACAGCAGTCAAAGGTTAGCTTAAATTTGCAGTGCAGAAACTCGATGTATAGACATTTACTGTAGACATCTTGATGTATAGACTTTGCTGTAGACATCTTGATATATTGAACGTGCGCTGAAGACATCTTGATGCATAGACGTTTTCTAAAGATATCTTGATGCATGGACATTTGCTGAAGACATCTTGATGTATAGACGTTTGCTGTAGACACTCATTGACCTTATGTAGCAATGACATTCCTTGACCTTATGTAACAATGACATTCCTTGAACTTATATAACAATGACACTCTTTGACCTCATATTAATGGCACTCCTGGACCTTTTTTTAACAATGGACCTGGACCTTATGTAACAATGGCACTCTTGAACCTTGTGTAACAATGACACTCCTTGACCTTTTGTAACAATGGCGCTCCTGGACCTTATGTTACCATGGCGCTCCTGTACCTTATTTTACAACGGCACTCCTTGACCTTATGTTACGATGGTGCTCCTGGACCTTATGTTACAGTAGCACTCCTGGAACATATGTAACAATGGCAATCCTGGACATTATGTTACAATGGCACTCCTGGACCTTATGTTACAATGGCACTCCTGGACTTTATGTTACAATGGCGCTCCTGGACCTTATGTGACAATGGCACTACTGGACCTTATGTTACAAAGGCAATATTTGACCTTATGTTACAATGGCACTCCTGGACCTTATGATACAATTACACTCCTGGACAATATGTTACAATGGCGTTCCTGGACGTTATGATACAATTACACTCCTGGACATTAGTTACAATGGCGCTCCTGGACCTTATCATACAATTTCACTCCTGGACCTTATGTTACAATGGCACTCTTGGACCTTATGTTGCAATGGTACTCTTTGACCTTTTGTTACAATGACCGTCCTTGACCTTATGTTAATATTACACTCCTGGACCTTATGTTACAATGACACTCCTGGCCCTAATGTTACAATGGCACGCCTGGATCTTATGTCACAATGGCCGCCCTTGACCTTATGCTACGATGGCCGTCCTTGACCTTATGTTACAATAGCCGTCCTTGATCTTATTTTACAATGGCACTCCTCGGCTTGAGTGAAAGGGTGAAAAGAGAAGTTGTGTTCTGTCCTTCACGAGAGCCACGTTCTGCATACGTAGCAGCGGCGGCTCCCATTGGATGGACAGCGTTCTTCCTGACGACAAGATGGCGACAGGTGAAGAGTGCTTCGAACCCCCTACGGAAGTTTCTGTTAAAAATGATATTGAGCAGAAAATTGTAAGCTGTGCTGAAGACAGTGAGAGCCAATCTGAGCATAAAGATGGCGCTGTCTGAGTCAGTGACATCGCTCTGTCCTGTAGTTTTCTGTAGACCAGAGAAGCAAAAATTAACTGACAAGACGTTCAAACTTCATGTCAGCACTGTTGTTCCTACACCCAGAAAAGTAAATACAACATCATAAGTATTTCTATGAGGATCAGTAAAATGAAATCTAGGCACCTAAAACTCCGATGACCTTAGCATGTGCCAGTAGACTCACCAGTAGGCAGACTTTACATATCTACCGACGGTAGGCAGACTTTACATATCTACTGATTAAACAGACTTTACATATCTACTGATTAAACAGACTTTACATATCTACTGATTAAACAGACTTTACATATCTACTGATAGTAGGCAGACTTTACATAATATAATATCTACTGATAGCAAACAGACTTTAATTACTTACTGATAATAAGCAGACTTTGAATATCTACTGATCATAAGCAGATTTTGCATATCTACTGATAGCAGGCAGACTTTACATATCTACTGATAGCAGGCAGACTTTACATATCTACCCATAGCAGGCAGACTTTACATATAATCTCTACTGCTAGAAGGTACGTAAAATATACCATGACCAGCTTTATTTGCTGTTTAGTTTTCTCATGGACCGTGCGTCTGATAAACGTAAGCAGGAATTATGAGAAAGTGTAAAATATGGCATCTTTCATTGACCTCTATGATGAGGAGTGTAAAATATATCATCTAACATTTACCTCTATGACGAGGAGTGTGAAATATGGCATCTAACATTTACCTCTATGACGAGGAGTGTGAAATATGTCATCTAACATTTACCTCTATGACGAGGAGTGTGAAATATGGCATCTAACATTTACCTCTATGAAGAGGAGTGTGAAATATGTCATCTTTCATTGACCTCTATGACAAGGAGTGTAAAATATGGCATCTAACATTTACCTCTATGATGAGGAGTGTAAAATATGGCATCTTTCATTTACCTCTATGATGAGGAGTGTAAAAGATATCATCTAACATTTACCTCTATGACGAGGAGTGTGAAATATGGCATCTAACATTTACCTCTATGATGAGGAGTGTAAAATATATCATCTAACATTTACCTCTATGACGAGGAGTGTGAAATATGTCATCTAACATTTACCTCTATGATGAGGAGTGTAAAATATGGCATCTTTCATTGACCTCTATGATGAGGAGTGTAAAATATATCATCTAACATTTACCTCTATGACGAGGAGTGTGAAATATGTCATCTAACATTTACCTCTATGATGAGGAGTGTAAAATATGGCATCTTTCATTTACCTCTATGATGAGGAGTGTAAAATATATCATCTAACATTTACCTCTATGACGAGGAGTGTGAAATATGGCATCTAACATTTACCTCTATGATGAGGAGTGTAAAATATATCATCTAACATTTACCTCTATGACGAGGAGTGTGAAATATGTCATCTAACATTTACCTCTATGATGAGGAGTGTAAAATATGGCATCTAACATTTACCTCTATGATGAGGAGAGTGAAATATGGCATCTTTCATTTACCTCTATGACGAGGAGTGTGAAATATATCATCTAACATTTACCTCTATGATGAGGAGTGTAAAATATGGCATCTTTCATTTACCTCTATGATGAGGAGTGTATAATATGGCATCTTTCATTTACCTCTATGATGAGGAGTGTAAAATATATCATCTAACATTTACCTCTATGACGAGGAGTGTGAAATATGGCATCTAACATTTACCTCTATGATGAGGAGTGTAAAATATGGCATCTTTCATTGACCTCTATGATGAGGAGTGTAAAATATATCATCTAACATTTACCTCTATGATGAGGAGTGTAAAATATGGCAACTTTCATTTACCTCTATGATGAGGAGTGTATAATATGGCATCTTTCATTTACCTCTATGATGAGGAGTGTAAAATATATCATCTAACATTTACCTCTATGACGAGGAGTGTGAAATATGGCATCTAACATTTACCTCTATGATGAGGAGTGTAAAATATGGCATCTTTCATTGACCTCTATGATGAGGAGTGTAAAATATATCATCTAACATTTACCTCTATGATGAGGAGTGTAAAATATGGCAACTTTCATTTACCTCTATGATGAGGAGTGTATAATATGGCATCTTTCATTTACCTCTATGATGAGGAGTGTAAAATATATCATCTAACATTTACCTCTATGACGAGGAGTGTGAAATATGGCATCTAACATTTACCTCTATGACGAGGAGTGTGAAATATGTCATCTAACATTTACCTCTATGACGAGGAGTGTGAAATATGGCATCTAACATTTACCTCTATGAAGAGGAGTGTGAAATATGTCATCTTTCATTGACCTCTATGACAAGGAGTGTAAAATATGGCATCTAACATTTACCTCTATGATGAGGAGTGTAAAATATGGCATCTTTCATTTACCTCTATGATGAGGAGTGTAAAATATGGCATCTTTCATTGACCTCTATGATGAGGAGTGTAAAATATGGCATATTTCATTTACCTCTATGACGAGGAGTGTAACATATGGCATCTTTCATTTACCTCTATGATGAGGAGTGTAAAATATGGCATCTTTCATTTACCTCTATGATGAGGAGTGTAAAATATGGCATCTTTCATTTACCTCTATGATGAGGAGTGTAAAATATGGCATATTTCATTTACCTCTATGACGAGGAGTGTAAAATATGGCATATTTCATTTACCTCTATGATGAAGAGTGTAAAATATGGCATCTTTCATTTACCTCTATGACGAGGAGTGTAAAATATATCATCTAACATTTACCTCTATGATGAGGAGTGTGAAATATGGCATCTTTCATTTACCTCTATGATGAGGAGTGTAAAATATGGCATCTTTCATTTACCTCTATGATGAGGAGTGTGAAATATGGCATCTTTCATTTACCTCTATGATGAGGAGTGTGAAATATGGCATCCAAGAAATGGCAAAGAGCACTGCAATGAGGATGAGCATCTTCACCACATTGACGTGACCTCTGTACAGGGCTTGAGTCAGCACAGTGTCCCCAAGCTTGGCTCCAAACAAACCCTTGGACCGGAAATACAAGAGTACACTGGAAGGTAAAAGAAGAGTTCATTTACTACAATGAGGGGTTCACACACAATGAGGGGGGTCTCACACAATGGTGGGGTCTAACACAATGAGGGGGTCTCACACAATGAGAAGGGTCACACACTTGCGTCCCGAGGGACCTCATAACGAACTTGCCCTTCCTTGAAAATCATTTGTGTCGGAAAATATAATGGAAGAAAGTAATAATGCACAATGACGTGCTGGAACCTTGGATCACGTGATGCACATGTGTGGCCCTTGGATCACGTGATACACATGAATAGTCCTGGGATCACGTGATACACATGAATGGCCCTGGGATCACGTGATGCACATGAATGGCCCTGGGATCACGTGATACACATAAATGGTCCTTGGATCACGTGATACACATGAATGGTCCTGGATCACGTGATGCACATGAATGGCCCTGGGATCACGTGATGCACATGAATGGCCCTGGGATCACGTGATGCACATGAATGGCCCTGGGATCACGTGATGCACATGAATGGCCCTGGGAGCACGTGATGCACATGAATGGCCCTGGGATCACGTGATGCACATGAATGGTCCTTGGATCACGTGATACACATGAATGGCTTATAGACCACATTTTGATAAAACATAACACGACTAAAATGAATGAAAATGTGACTATAGATTTGACAATGTCACTCACTGAACCAGAGATAGAAACAAGTATTAGAAGTAGATTTGACAATGTCACCCATTGAACCAGGAGAGAAACTAGTAGAAGAAATCAAACTTTATTTATTCTCTCCCTCTGTCTATCTCTCTCTATTCTCTCTCTCACTCTCTAACATTTTAAATGAGAATTACCTGCTATAATTAGCCAGCAGCAGAACCAGCGGCACCACATAGGCTAACAAAAGAATACCGACCCCATTGAACGTCGAGTATGTCCGCGACACACCATGACTACCACATCGGGTGATGGAGGTGCCATTGACATAGGGCTCTTTAAATTCAGAGTACTCATAGCTGAAATAACAAGGGTGCAAGAAATGGCCATGAAATAAAGAACACACACACACATTTACTCACTCAGACACACATACACACACATTCACTCACTCAGACACACACATTCACTCACTCAGACACACATACACACACACACAACAAATGCATACCAGACACGATGGTGTCATCCAAGTTGAGTGTAAGTGACAGCTTCAGGGACAGCGTCAGTGACAGTTGCATTTTGCAGGGGGTCACGATCTCTCTATATTTGTTCAACTTTATTATCGCTCTGATTGCTTACAACTGAATTATTTATCAGTGTTCACTGTTAACTTAAACACACACAGTTCTATCACTAGCAGAGACGACTCTCTAACAGAGATGGGGTGCTTACAGAGATGGTGTGCTTACAGAGATGTGGTGCTTACAGGGATGGTGTGCTTACAGAGATGGTGTGCATACATAGATGTGGTGCTTACATAGATGGTGCACTTATATAGATGAAGTACTTACACATTGGTGATCCACTTACATAGATGAAGTACTTACACATAGGTGATCCACTTACATAGAAGATGTATTTACATAGTAATTACATAGTACTTACATAGTGGGTATACTAAACAGCAGGGAGAGAAACCAGATAAGGGGAATAATCTGAACAACTTGAGACAGTGTTGTTCGCCCCTCATTCATCGCGACTATGGCCCGCTTTCTCTCAAAAGAAATGGCCACCATTGAGTAAATGGATGCCATAATGCAAAGTAGGGGGCTGAAGTTGACCACACGGCAAAGAAAGTCTCCTGAGAAGTGGATGGAAACTTGATTGGATGTCATCGTTAGAATAAAACTATTTCAAAGACGGTTATTTTTTTAATTTGAGCTTTATGATTCATAAGTCACATTTCATGCTTC